GGGGGGTGGGGGGTGGGGGGTGGGGGTGAGGCATAACCATGAAGACCAAGCAAAGACAAATCATTGCTTTCCAGCAGGCTTCCCCGCCCAACTCACTGCAGAGGAACAGAGACCAATCCCAAGAGCTGGGGGAAGCTCCTCTCCCAGGCCCGTGAAGCAGGGGTCTGGGGTGGGGAGGGGGCCTGGGAGCTCATGCTAAGGACCTAGACACAGCGCAGAAGCCCACTGCTGCCTCCCCCGACCAGGCCCTCCTCCCAGTCAGAACCACAGGTACCTGAAGCGGGTTCTTCTACTCAGGGCACTCAGGCCCCCCTCTCCAGGCCCCTCCAGCCGAGGGGGCTCACTCCCAGGCCCCCTGCTGCCACCTCCACATCGGGGCCGCTGGACATGAGCTCTGACCTTCCTGAGGTTGTGCCGGGGTACAGAGGGATTAGGTCTCAGCGGGCAGCATCTCACCATTTCGCTGCTCTTGGAGCTCTGGTCCTTGCCGTGCCTCTGACTGACACATCATGGGTAGGCACAGGGAGGTGTTGTAAGCCTCCACGAGAGTGCGCTCGCTCGCCTTTGTTTTTCCTCATCCCTCCCCTTCCCCCCTTGCCAGAGGATCTGTGCTGTCACTGGTCCAGGGCGCTGATGGCACCACTTCTAGTTCACTCTTGGTGGCTCACAGGCACAGGTTAGAGGGTCAGGGCCATTGCAAACAGACAGGTACTAGTCACACACCACACAGGGCTCCTGTTCAGGTCAACTGCTCAGGCTCTACAGCCACAGCAGAAGCCCCTGTACTGGGCTGGCTCTGTCCCCCAGTTTGGTCACCTCTCTGGTCCCTGCCAACTGCCTAGTTCAAGTCTCCCAGCTCTGCTGGAGGGCAGCAAGTGGACAAGGCCCTGGGGTTGCCTGCTTCAGCCAACTCTGGTAGAGAGGTGACCAGACACTGCCAGGGCTTTCAGGTGCCATGGGCTCCAAGAGCACAAGGTGGGAATCTGAGCCCTGTGCTCCAGCCTGATGGCTCCTCCCTCATCAAGACCTGACCCATTTTCAATTCAGGTAACAAACTAGTATCTGAGGAATGGCAGAGGGGGGCAGCCAGTCAAGGCACCATGGTGTGAACCTGGGTACTATACATGCTGTGGCTCTCTAGTCACCCCTCCTGGCCTTGCAGCCTTCAGTACCTGGCTCTGAGTGGCCTAGGCATCCTCATAAGATGTACACCTGGGCTAGCTCAGGGAAAACCAGCCTGGGGCTGGGCAGCAGGACCGAAGCCCAAATCTCCCCATTCTGATCTTTCCATCCTCCTTCAAAAAACCACTTTGGTCAGGCTCCTCCCAGGCAATGTGCAGGGCCCACCCCCTGGCCACAGCTTCCCTACTGCACAGATAACAGAGACAGGAGAGCAAACATTTCATAAATGAAGCTCTCAAGGTCCTGGGGATGATGTAGGCTGACAGGCGCTAACTGGGAGGCCCAAACCTGCTTTCCAGTATCTCTCACACCTGTCACTATTTTTGGATTAAGAAACAGAGACCCCAAGAGCTACTGCTTAACACAGAGAACTCGGGCAAGGACCACCTAGCTAGGAAACATCCTGTGACAACTCATATCACTCTATCTACAAAAGGATTTATGTGTGAAACGTTAGCCAGAGGGTAAAAATTCTAGCCCTGGCATCTGCCTACAAAAACTACTGAATTCCAGGTATGCTAGTGGCCTCTGAGGCTTGGGCATGTATAGGGCTCTCCCTGTGACCAAGGAAATGGAGAGGACTGGCTTACCCCAGCGCACAACTGTCCTCCAAACTCCTCTTTTAAAAGATGCCAGCACCCACATGGATAGGAGCTTCATTCCATTCCAAGGGCCAGGACCAGGGTCTAGAAACACCTTCACTTCTGCCTCAGGCTCAGTGAGCCTCCTGCTAACTTCCCCATCCATGGTGGTCAGTTTGCTCCATCATTCCATACTGAGTGCACACATACCCAGTCTGGCCCACCAGGCTCCATACTGGCCAGGGAAACAGAGCCAGCGGGCTGATGAGCTATCATGTGGGGTGGTGTCAGGCTCTGAGGCGCTTTCCTTGTTCTACAAATTATAGGATGGACTGGGCACGGTGGCTCATGCCTTTAATCCCAGCATTTGGGAGACAGAGGTTGGTGGGTCTCTCTGAGATCAAGGCTAGCTTGGTCTACACAGTGAGTTCCAGGTCAGCTGGGACTACAGGGAGGCCCTGTCTCAAAAACAAAAAAAACCCCCGAAGAAACCCCAAAGTACAAAATGGGAAAAAGGAGTTTAGCTGACACCTAGGACCAATGGGGAACAAATATAGCCTTGTAGAATGGGGGACCCCAAGAAGCCCCAGCCTCCTGCCATGTGCTCTTTACTGCACTACCATGTAGGCACTTTGTCAGTCCTGAACATGTTCAGTCTGCAAACCCTAAAACCTAAAACTTATAGGTCCTTAAAGGAGGCTCCTATGGGAACCCTGGCTTTTTTTCTACCACAGCACTGTAAGGGGCCCATTAGGCCCTTCTAGGCTGGGGCCCTACAAAGTCTGCAAAGCCAGGGACCTGGTCAAGCTGGATGGCCCACCAGGGGCAGGGTAGCCTGGTTCCTTCTGCTTGCAGTAAGGGAGCTCAAGAGACCAGCCCAAGGAGCTGCTTTCCGGAAGAGGCACTAGGACCTAGGACCTTCCCTGAGGGGCCAAGGTACCCAATCTGCACTTGCCCACAGTGAAGGTGAGGGTGAGGGCATGGGTGAGCAGAGTGTTCTTGTCTTTATCACTCTTCTATCTCTTCTAAACTGGATCACCAGGGTGTTAGAACTTCCCCAAAACATCCACATAGATTCCATATAGTCCCAGGGAACAGAATGAACTTACCTCTCTTCCAAGAAACAGCTTAGCACTGTTGTCTGTCTAGCATAACCTGCAAGGACAGAAGGGCTACCCCTGCTCCCCGAGGTCTCTACTGTCTCACTTCCCAAGGCAGAGCTACCTCTACAACAGCAAAGTATCCATCCTTCCCATTTCAGAGTCCCCCCCAACCCCTGATGTAACATCTCTAGGACCCCAAATCAGACATCTGACCCTCCCTAGCCTGTGACTGCTCAGGATCTGGATGAGGGCTGGACAAGGAGGAGCCCTATGGCAAAAGACTACAGACAACTCCCTTCCCTTCCCTTCAGAGTCAAGTGCAATCTCGGTAGGCAAGTTCAGACTTTGTTTAGCCGGACTTTAAAGCTATTACATGTCCTGAGGGTCAGTCACCTGAACTGTGAGAATTCAGATAAATCTGTAGTGGGCAACCAATCTGGTCACTACCGTCCTGACTGTACTGCCTTGCCCAGTTCTGCCCTACCTCTGAGAACTGGGTAAAGCCCTTGGTAAGCCACTGCTGCTCTGCTGGCCTCAGTTTTTTTCATCTGGAAAATGGGAAGCACTTCTGCCCGCTTCCCTTGAGACTCAGAACATAGTTGTGACCAGAATAACTGCTTATAAACCTTAACTCCCACCCAAGTCCCCCAACACCCCATGCTTTACCTTCTTTTTTAGGAAGGCAAAGACACAGCTGAGAGGGCAGAGAAGGGAACAACTTTGAAAGGGAAGTCTAACCACAGGGCTGGTGCTGTCTAGTGAGTAGAAAGCAAGGGCTGATCACACCATGTGGACACGGGTTGTTACCATGTGGACACAGGGGTTAGTTCTATTAGGATATGCTTTTTGGGGGCTCACACATACATCTCTCCACCCATCACTGCTTAGGGCAAAAGGCAAGGACATTTGGGTCCCCCAACATAATGGAACATTCCAATTGAAGTCAATGAATGGACCAGGCCAGTCAGCAGTTACATAGGTGTAGATGGGTATTAATGTATGTGTGGGGGATTAAGTAAGCATGTGCAAGTGTGTGGGGGTTGGTGGGTGGTACAGGCTGCATGCTGGGGTTTCTGCATACCTATTCCTGCCTTGGTAGATTCTGGCTTGAGTTGGAGATGAAAAGCAGGCAGACCCTAACAAGACTTTCTTGACTCCAGTGGCCTAAGTTACTTCAAGAATTGGCTCCTGCCCCATGGTGGAAATCTCCTTAGGCACCAGGGTCACCCTCCTAAGGCCTCAGCAAAAACATTCTGGGCCCCAGATCATACACCGACCACTCACTTTTCACTCACATTCCCACCCTGGAGGGCCTGGGCCACTTCCTTCCTAGCTCCCTGAGGCAGGGCCACCTGGCAGCTGTGTCCAGTAGGGTGGCTAACCCTTCCTGCTCCATGTTTCAGGGCTAGAAGTAGACCGAACTTCAGAAGTAGGGGACGGCATGATCCTCCCTGAGCAAAACCAGCAATTCTAGGAAGCCATGAGAAAGGAAGAGGGGACAAAGAAAAGGCAAGATGGCCTATCATCAAGTCAGTGGCTGAAGGGAATTTGTAAGTGGGGTAGAAGACACAAAGCCTTCCTCAATTTCTCAATGAAAAGCAATCTTCTCTCAATCTCTGGCACCTGTGCCCCAAGGCAGAGCCAGCCCTCCTCTGCTGTTGATGGTCTAGGCTCTAAAGAAGCTCAGGGGCATTTCCCATTCCCTGGGGTGCCCAGGCCCAGGCTTCTCAACGCAGAAAAAAAATACATTCTGGGAGCCCAGGGCAGACCTAATGTCTGTACTTCCCAACCTCCCGGCATCTTGCTCACTTCCTGCCTGGGTGTTGGTGGGGCTGGAGATGCTACAGGAAGTGAAGGAAGTGAGCTCAAACAGCCTGGGGCCCATGACTGCCTGGGGTAGAGAAGGCCTCAACTTCATCTAGATTACAGTTCTTAGCTCACTGTAAAAGAGCCAACCCACAGCAAGAATGTGCTTTAGAAGGGCACTCCCACCCAGTCCACCAAGTCCTCCCAACCTCAGGGACAGGGGCACAGCTTCTTAAGAAACCACCTGCTGCTGGTCATACCCTTGGCTCCTGTCAGCTTGCTCACTCACTCACTCTGAAGTAGGTCCCACTCTGGCTTCTGGTCTTCAACTCCTCCAGCTCTGGCTGGGTTCTGAAGCCTCAGAGTCTCAGAGCAGGCTGGGCGCTGCCGGTTCCAGCCACTGGGCTGCTGGGGGCGGGAGCAGGAAGAGCCATACCAGACACTGTTAAAGGTACCACACCCTCTGAGCTCCAGCCAGGCCCAGGAAACCCTGAAGGCCCCTTTAAGGGGAGGGACTGCAGACCTGAGTAAAGAGGAAGAGGCAGGCAGGAGGCCCAGCCCTACCCAGTCACAGTCATGATCCATATCCCCAAAGACCCCAAAACACAGTAGCGCTAGTTGGGTCCTGCAGCCCCCAGAGAATGCCACATGGGATTCCGGGAACCCCGTGTCCTCAGCCCCTGGCTGGCTTCCAAGCTGCTGGCTTCTGAGCTGCCGCCTCCCTCACCAAGCCTGCCAGGCAGAGTTCTCACTGAGGACTGGTTTCTTCACTGGGCTGAGCACAATACCACTTCCAACATCTCTTCTGACTCTAGAAGTTCCAAAGAAGATGTGGAAATTCTTACTACTGCTTCCCACAATTGATCATGACGACACAATGCTACCCCTGCTACTTCATCTGTCCTCTGGGCCAGCAAACCCGTGGACAGGTGAACAAGAATAACTGAACAAGGACCACTCACCCACAGGTTGGAAAACATGCAGTGTTTTCCCAAGTTGGGAATATCCTATGGGATATGTCTTTCTACCCCACTGAATGGGAAGGTCCCAATATGTGGAGTCAGCAAACTATCCTATACCTACAGGATGCTAGGCCTGCCTAGCTAGCACTCCGCCAACACAAAAGGGAACAAACCAACCTAACGTTTTCTAGGGAAAATAGAAAATCTTCAGGGCATCACCATTTCACCAAAGGAGCCTCATTCATGTCTGTGCAGCTAACTCAGCAAGAACCACTGAGGTGGGCTCAGAAAGCTCAGTCTTTTCATGCAGGGCTACTGCGAAGGGTAAAACTCCAGCCCCTTCTGACCACAATTTCATTTCCAAAATAACTAATGTTTAGAACAAGAGTTCACCCCCTTACAAGGCTTGTAGAGAGATGAGTGGGTTATAGAGTCTGGAAAAGCACTTTGACAGTGTAGACACAGCCCCCAACACCTGTCCTCTTTACCTGGATTCAGCCCAATCAAGAGCTAGGTGACAAGTTTCAGGCTTGTATTGCAACAGGGCAAGAGGACACCTAGGACTGTCCTCTGGAACTGCCACGATACTCCACATCCACTGCACCACGAGAATGGTGAGGCAGAATGGGCATGATACAGGCTATCTCTGTTTGCCTGGCCCATGCTCAAAGAGACACTACTAATTGGTCCCTAATCTCACTGAGCCCCTGTAAGACTTCAGATTCTTCTAGTTGCAGTTTCAGGCAAACACCATGTGGACTACAGCTTGATCCTCAGAATCCATGTAAAAATGCCAGGCTGGACAGCATTATGGTGGGTGACATCTGAAGTTGTCCTGGGACATGGGCACACAATAAATATTCAGAAAGAGACTAAGAACAAAAAGATGTTGACACAGAATGGTAAGACCACCAAATTTCAGAACTAGAGAGATGCCAGAGACTCACTGTACTTCCTAGAGCCTCCAGTAATTGCAGAACAGGCTTTTTGGTATTTGAATACAGAATCAAACCTAAACCAAGCCCCCAACTGCCCTGGAACTCACTATGTGGATCAGGCTGGCCCTGATCTCCCAGAGATCTCCTTGCCTCTGCCTCTCCAATGCTGGGATTAAAGACGTGCACCTGGCAAGATTTTATTATTTTTAAAATTATGTGTTTGTACATATGAGTGCAAGTGCCAGAGGAGTTGAAAAGAGGGATCCTCTGTAGCTGGAGTTACAGGTTGTTGTGAATCATGCAACGTGAGAACTGGGAACCAAACTCCAGTCCTCTGCTAAGAGCAGAAAGCACT